ATAAAAAAAGACAATCCGATAATATTTGTACAAAACCATTAAATAGAAAATTGACTGCTTCGTTGGCCGAGTGGTCGCAAGTGCGACTGCCGGGCAAGGGCTCTCGGGTTCGATTCCCGGGTCGGGCGAACTATTACTGGGTTTTTAAAAATCTCAGTAGTAGCACGGAGTCTGGAAATGTGCCCGGGATATGGCAATAGGCTAACCCCTTATTACATGGGACTCATAACATATTGAATAGTCAACATCACACATGGCATTAAGTGCCAAAATGTGCACTTCTACATACCCCTTAGGGGATAAAAAGGCGTGAGGTTATGTTATATTATTAACTCGTCGAGTACCGGTTTTGTAGACCCAATTATAGAACAATAGGTTGCGGTCACCGGTGACCGCTTGGTGTTTGACAGTTTAAATAGAAAAGTCCTACCTCTTCCCGCCATCTATATCTTCAGCTAAATCCATTTGACAACACAATTCCTTCTCCAATTCTTCTATTTTCCACTCCAACTTCTCATACATATCAAAATCGTCCAAGTTCTTATAAACACCAATCTCTTCAATCTCCGTCCCTTTCGCACGTTCAAAAATCCTATTTGGCGTCTCACTCGCACCTTCCGAAGACGGAGCCGTCAAATCTTCTGTATTCTCTTTCTCAATGGCATCTTGTTTCTCTTCCTCGCTTTGTTGTGCCGTCTCTTTCTCGCTTGTAGTAATTGTGGCTTGTTTCTCTTTCTCGCTTTGTTGTGCCGTCTCTTTCTCGCTTGTAGAAATTATCTCTTGTTTCTCTTTCTCGCTTTGTTGTGCCGTCTCTTTCTCGCTTGTAGTAATTGTGTCTTGTTTCTCTTTCTCGCTTTGTTCGGCTGTCTCTTTCTTGTCTTCGGAGTCTTTTTTCGAATTGAACAGTGGGTATGTTAGTGCTAGGATTATTGGTTGATCATTTTTCGAGCATTCTTTGTAGGTGCGCATAATCTGTGGATAAAGAAAATAATATATTAAACAAGGACGTATTAAACGTCACTTCGAAACGATTGAAGCAGCAAAATTTCATGTATACCGTAAAATGGGGTGGATAGGGATCGAGAGGTGAATAGAAACAAAAGAGGGGTGAATAGTTATTGGGAAATTCTTCATAGTATCGATAGCGACCACTAGAACAACGAGACAGTTATAAAGCCATAATGATAAAATAAAATTTTTTATACAGAGTGTCCGTTAAGTCGACGATCAAATGCCACCAGATGATCGGCAAGGTTCCTACAGTCATCAGAAAAATGTAAATAAAATTCCAATTCATATAGTTTTTAAATTACAATTACTTATGTGTTACTAGCTTTTACCCGCGGCTTCGCTCGCGTCACAAAAGGATAAAAAGTAGCCTATGTGACATATACCAATACACACAGCGCCATCTATACCAATAATTTCGTTTTCCCTCGGGAATATCAAAATTTTCCGGGATAAAAAGTACCCTATTATTTAATCCAGACTTCTAACTTTACGTCTGCAAAAATTCAAAGCAATCGGTTTAGTATTTACGCCTTGAAAGCGGAACAAACAAACAAACTCACTTTCAGATTTATAATATTAGTAAGGATCCACGAAAAAGTACACCCTGAGCCAGTCTTTTGACTCTTGTTGCTACAATTCTTTATTCATCAACTGGTCCCATTTGATCGTCGACTTCAGGGACAGCTTGTAGAGGTATATACTTACATATTTCAAATCTTCATCTTTATAGATGAGATGGCAGCTGTCTACAATAAGTACGTTGATATTAGACATAGACAATAACTCCTCATGTAATATCCGTTTCAGGACTGCCGAAGTGCATATTACGACCTGGAAATATTCATAACATTATAGAGTTTTTTATTGTATAAACCAGTAATCGAGCAGACGGATCACCTGATGGTAAGCAATTGGCGTCGCCCATGGACACACGGAACACCAGAGGCGTTACAATGTGCGTTACCGGCCTTTTAGGAAATTGAAGATTATGGGGCATTGAGGGATTGGGGAGGGGGGGGGGGGTTGTATGATCTACAGATGGTTGATCCGGGTCTGGGCGTTGTGTGTATGTGAAATTGTATGATTGTATAAACGCACCCACGACACAAAAAAATTTGAAAAATGAAAAATAATGAACAATCCCCAGTTTCCCCAATCCCCCGATCCCCGTCCCCCGAACACTCGAATTCCTAACAATCTTCAAATTCCTAATCCCCAAAAGGTTCGTAACGCACTTTTAACGGTTCTAGTGTCCATTTGAGTTAAAACTCCATAGGTTACTCTTTTTCAATCAGGTTGACAATACAATTCTTTACTTACATAGTATAGATTCATTGGTCCAATTATGTGACACCAACCTTATAATAACTATCGTGAGACATACTAAATTAACTAAAAATCGCGCGCATATACTGAGAAAAGCTCAAATCAAATGTCGGTAGGCTGCGCGACATCGCCGCGACCGCGCACGCTGCTCATGAGGAAGAACCCCTCTGTGGTTCGAAACTTGTAGAGATTTTCTCAGTATATTCACGTGAGTAACTCGTGATTTTTAGGTAATGATTCTCACTTTAATTCGGCCTTTGATTGTAATAATACTTTCGAAAATTTTATTTTAATGTCCGTCTGGTAGTATAATTTAAAACTTTAGACACGTATTTTTTTTTTCTCACAAAATTAAATACTTTCGACGATATATTAATTTCAAATATCGTGTGTGACGTCACAGCGTGCCACATTATGTAGCACGTTATGACGTAACGACTTCCCACTCCTAAACTTAACGCCATTTTATCTAAGTATTGCAACTTAATACGAGAAAATAAAAAATACGTGTCTAATATTTTTTCATTATCTAACTGACGGACTAATTAGATTTTAAATTTTTGATACCCTGGAAACTACCCAATTCCACTCACCTCTTTAGTCTCCAACTCAGCCATCCAATCATACACCTCATCGTACGTCTGGGCTGCTACCGTGCCGAGGTCGGTCAGTATCTTCAGTTCAAACGCTACCACTTGTACTCTGGAAGCTCGAGTTATGTATATTGATCGCTTACTGCCTTCAAAAAGAGACCTGGAAATGAGAAAAAAGAAATACATAGCCTTTTATCCCCGAAAGGGAGAGCAGAGGGGCACATAACGGCACTTAGGGCCTATGCACACCACGGTTTTTTAAACGCGCCGTCGACGCGCGTTTGTAGCGATACAGACGCGATACGCACGCAAGTCAGATGCAGGCTGTAGACCTTTGCACACCTGTATATAAACAGACGCGCGTGTGTAGCGATACAGACGCGATGCAAACGCGTGTAGTGTGTATCGATACAAACGCGCTGGGATTTTGCGTTTTTAAACTGTCAAACACCAAGCGGTCACCGGTGATCGCAACCTATTGTTCTATAATTGTGTCTACAAAACCGGTACTCGACGAGTTAACCAGAACCTCGTCAACAGTAGCAAGATGGTGTCGAAAGGCTCCATTTTTTTTTGTTCCAAATTCGTGCCGTGCACCAAATCGCTCGATTGCTACTAGCGTAGATTCACACTTTCCTTTCACTCGTTGCGGGGGAAACCTCGTCCGTAGGGAAGGCGCACATACAAACGCGCCGGTGCCGCGCACACACACAAACGACTACAAACTGCTCTGCAGGATAAAAACGCGCGTCGACGGCGCGTTTAAAAAACCTGGTGTGCATAGGCCCTTAATGCCACTGTACAATGTAACACTCACTTTTCACTATTTATGTTATGAGTCCCATGTAATAGTGGAAAAAGAAATTTCAGGGATATTTTTATGTGTTTTGTAATTGGGTCGGGTTAACTGAAGCGATACCACGCGACGCCGCGACGGTCGTACGGTCGCCGACGCGTTCTTAACTCCTCTAGTTGTGCGGATGTCCACGGGTGGCGTCAATTGCTTACCATCAGGCAACTCGTCTGCTTGTTTGACGGCGAATACGAATACGAACAAATATTTGTATTTGATACATATAGGATATCGGCAGTACAATTATATGGTGTGATCACACTCCAGCCGCCTCTCTCTGACGATCTCCGGCCACCGTAAGCGCGGGCCTGCGGACGGCGAGCATGGATAGCTCCCCGGCCGACCAGAACCAGACCCGAACGTACGGCGTCGAGCGTTCCGCGCGCGCCTCAAAGAGCCATCAGACCACCACGGATGGGGCCCAGCAGGGCCGATGTCGATTCGGAGTTGCGGAGGACCTAACGGGTAACCGGGGCTCCGGCTCGACGAGCAGAAGGAACGGGGTGGTTTTTAGTCAGTAAGAGTCTGACACTCCCTCCCTACACTACTCTCCTAGTTACTAACAGAGTGCGGGAGTGCGGGAGAATGCCGTCACTCTATTTACCGACAGTTCTGAGTGATGACACAACTATACAAGCACACAAACTGCTATTTACTGCGGACAGATGTACTCGCGCCTTTGTGGCATGAACATTTCACATCGATCTTCACCAATGGGGATGATGACAGGTTATGAAAATTAAAAATATAATAAGTCCGTAAGTTAGGTAAGTAAAAAATATTAAACACGTATTTCTTTATTTTGTCGTATAATAAAACAATACTTAGATAAAACAAATCAAAAATTAGGAGTGGGGGCTAAAACGTCATTTCTTAGTATAAAATGTACTGAGAAGTGACGTCACGCGACATTTCAAATCAATATATCTTCGAAACTATTTGTTTCCGTAAGAAAATAAAACATACGTGTCTAATGTTTTTAAATAATCTACCAGACGGACATTAAAATAAAAATTAGTCGTCTACCCTATTCTTATTGGTGGTACTTGTAATATGGTGGTAATAATATGGTGGTGGTACTTGTACTTACCCGCGGATCTGGTGGGCTTTTTCATAGAGTAGTCGGACAGGTATGAAGCTAGCATACTCCACGGCTAGGATGTTCTTTGTGGAGGCTGCGGCGGCTAGTCGGGCGCCGCCCTCCGCCGCCGTGAAGCGGGAACAGCAGGCGTCCATCATCATCACCTATATAATAATAGGTAAAATATATGGTAATAATGCAGCTTTAATATGTTGATATATCGTACCGAAAACTTGTTTGTACAACAACTAAAAAATAGTCTCTAAACATTGGAAATAAGGTCTATAATGGAGTTAGCGGAGATAGGTCATGGTGACCGCTTCGGGATTGAAAAGTTCCTGTTCTGGCCTGTTGAAAATTGTTGAACATCATCCCCTAAATTTGTTCATACAAAAGTAGTCTCTAAATATTGGAAATAAGGTCTATAATGTAGTTAGTGGATAGCGGTCACCGATGACCACTTGGCGATATACAGGTTGAGCTCTATTCTATCAATCAAGCCCTTTCGTTTGATATGCATAATGGAGGTAGTTGTGGAAAAAATTAGATTATATTGTATGGTCATCAAGATTAACTCGTTGAGTACCGTCATTATAGACACAATAGGTTGCAGTCACCGGTGACCGCTTGGTGTTTGACAGTTTAAGAGTATGTATCAAATATCAGATCGATCCGTCGGTAGGAAAGGGGTAATATTCCAATTAGTAAATTTGCCCCAAGCAAAGAAACGGTGCAAGCCAATTAACACCGTTTAAAATGCAGCAAAAATATAGTTTGACTTTGAAGTAAAAAAGAAAAATATTGAAAAGGTCTTGTTAGTAAAGTAGGCGCAGTTCTGACCGCTTGAGCTGTCTTGAGTTGGATTCCTGGGCCATGCAAAGCTTTGTTGGTGTTATGACTGCTGAGCAACTGGTCTTAGATTCGAATTCTGGGGCATGCAAGAGGGTATTTTGGACATTTTTTAAGTAACATGGAGTTAGGAATAATGTCTTCTCATATTGACAAAGGACTCATAACAATTAGTTGGGAGGTAGTAGATATGAAGCTATAATAGCTTTTATATTTATAAACCTATGCCAGTAACTCCGTTTAAGCATATTTACTGTGTTGTTGACCCCATTATAAATAGTTTACAATGCTTTAACTGATCACTGAGTACAATTCTAATTAAGTCATTTCAAAATCGATAAATGCAATGCCCCTTTGCTCAATTCTAGCCCCAGAAGGATACGATAGTTCAAGGCAGTCGTAATAATGACCAATAAACAACCAAATTACTTGAAAATTCATTATAGCAACCACAAAACAATGAAATTGCATCGGTTGGACATCGCAACAATAGATAATAAAAACTGTTCAAATACTTACGTCTCACGCACGTAGGAACGACTATCCGGTAAAACACGAACACGACACCTCGTTTCTCACGAAACAATCAAAGAAATAGCTGTTGGAAATCCGAAATATGATCTTAGAAAAACTAAACATAATTCGAGTCACATTTCCGCTTCAAAACACAAGCTGTAGCCTAAAGCGGCCGGTATTTAACCGCCATAAATGTATTGGTAGTAAATAGTAACTATATAGTTCGTTATGAATACAAATTTTATCGTCTTTCTGTTAAACAAACAGTATTTTACGATAGCTTCACCGCCGGAGTCAGCCGGAGTTCGCAAAAACGAGAAGCGAATATTTTAACATCAATTCAAACGTCAGTGTCAAAATTTTGGCACAGCAAAGCCAAAGTGTTAGTGTTGCTGATTTATAATTCAAAGATCTACTATTTTTATATTGAAATCAGTAACTCATTGATAATAAAATTCTATAAGAATAAGAACAAAATTATACATAATTATGTTATTTAAAATACGAATGAGTTCGTTCTTAAGTTTAAGTATTTCACGAACAATTGTGTACTAAATCGAAAACTATAATATAAGCAAATAATTTCAGATAATTTATTAAATAATTTAAAAATGCAACAAAACTTTTTATAAATTTCTTAAAGTTATTGGTATTTATCTAATACTGATGTTTTCAAAAAATAGATTGTAACAATAAATTAATTTAAGTAATGTTACTTTTCATAACTGAATAAACGGTTATCACTTGACCTCATTATCTTATTAAAACAGAAAACAAAGACGTGATTGTGCTACATAAAGAAAGCTACCATTTATGCAAACATATTTTTCGGTTAAGAACTCTAAACCCACAGATTATAAACAAGAAGATTTAACCGGACTTCCCCGATATTATGGTAGTTATACACATTCGTCTAATTTGCAAAAAACAAATTGAGATGCCAACCTATCTTTAACAAAAAATACTCAATATTTAAAAGAATTCAGAAATAAGTCCGAAATCGTGATTCTCATAAAAAAGTCTTATGTTTTCTCATAAAAGTTTTTGAAAAACTAACTTCAAAATATAAATAACATGCTGGAATAATGCCGATTCAATGTGTGGTTTACCTTGTCGGGGGTAAATGTAGATTTCAAGGGTCGGTCGGGGGTAAAAGCAGTTATAACTTTAATATCAATGGTTTAACAAACTCTTAATCTTTTAAACTATAGTGTGTAACATGCTTTAGGCCTAAATATAATCATGCCGGGTCTTTGACAGTAGGTACGCGAAATCTTTGAAAGTTCGCACTTTGCAGTTTTGTTGTAAAATTTTACATGCATAAATTTTGTCTTGCAAAACAGTACTTACGTTCTTAGTTCAAAACAATTCAGTCTTTGTCCTGTATTTTAAACTTGATGTTGATTTAAAATAAGTTGAAAGTGCTAAGATCGCCGTTTAATCCATATATGTTTTGGGCGTTGCATTCTAGTGTAAGAAACTGTGCTTCGAAAAAGTTATCAAAGATAGTTCGTTTTTGACGTGTGGAATCGTTAGTGGTGAGATTGTTGATATTTATAGAACCTATTACTAATTCACCAGACATAATTATAATATAATTTTTTTACAAGAATTGTTTTAGTTAGGTAACGAAGGAATTACCTATTAATATAAGTAGTCTCCTTGTTTTATTATTAGATAATTATAAAGGTCTTTGGTACTTCGGTGTCATTCTAGAATGTGTATGTCGGCGACATTTGTATATTGCCAGCGTATTTGGGTAAAAGATATCCTGTTATAGTCCAGACCGTCTATAGTGTATATATGTATTTATGATTTATATATTTCAATTAAAATAGTATAACATTACATTCTTAAAACCAAGGCGTTATACATGTTCTAATAACTATAAGTAAAAAAAACCCAAAATAGTCCTTAACTCGTTGACTACCATCATTATAGACACAATTAAAGTACAATAGGTTGCGGTCACCGGTGACCGCATGGTGTTTGACAGTTTAAATGACAAATTGTAAACATGGTGTATCGCTGTGTCAAATTTTATACACATCAAGTCATCCATTCTGGTGGTAAATACACGTATTGTAAGAGTCCATTATTTTTTTAACCCACTGAAAACTGTTGAAAATCATTCCCTAAATTTGTTCATACAAAAGTAGTCTCTAAACATTGGAAATAAGGTCCGTAATGTAGTTAGTGAAGAGCGGTTGCCGATGACCCGTTGAGGATATATAGATTAAATTAAAACAGGGTTAAATAAAGTTACTCTTAACCAAAGAGTATGCATGAACAGATATTATGCAGGGATACTCTTGATACTTAAGATAGAAAATTTACTCAAAGAAAACAATCCTTTGTTTTTGAAGAGAAATAAAACTGCATTCATATATTTTTTAAAATTTGTTTGCCGCACACGGTATTTCAACAGACCAAATTCTGTAAAAGTTGCACCATGTACTTCTATTGCATCGATCTTTAGGGTCAATAAAGATGTAATCTCTCTAACAAACTTTATTAAATTGAATGAAAAGAAAAAGCAATGAAATCTTAGGAGCTCTCACGGTCCAACACCTGTTATAGCAGATCCCTAGGGGACCTGCGTTGTCGCGGAGAACCTAACGGGTAACCGGGGCTCCGACTAGACGTGCAGGAAAAGGAACGAGGTGGTTTTTAGTCAGTAAGAGTCTGACACTCCCTGACAAGTAGTCATTCGATGATTTTCCCCCCTTAAAAAAATAAAAGGGGACCTGCATGTCTTTTGATCATCACTTTGCACGGCAGCACATGACCACTGTGTTTCCATCTTCCCTGAGGCCACTGTATGGGCACTTAGAGTCCCCACTCTATGCACCCATGACATTATTGTGCCCCATACCCAGATTCTTTTTCAAAAACTCCATCCAAAGGTTGTCAGGAAGAAATCGCCGCATGTGATAAGACCGTCCATTGTACTCAAATTACTATTACAATGTAAACTAAGTCTTCTGTGTGTGCATTAACTCGTCGAGTACTGGTTTTGCAGACACAATTATAGAACAATAGGTTGCGGTCACCGGTGACCGCTTGGTGTTTGACAGTTTAAAATTCTTACTAATATTATGAATCGGAAAGTGAGTTTCTTTGTTTGTTTGTTCCGCATTCAACTTTTAACTTTCAATTAGTTCTTTCCGTAACTACTAAACCGATTGCTTTGAATTTTTGCAGACGTAAAGTTAGAAGTCTGGATTAAATAATAGAGTACTTTGGTACTTTTTTTATCCCGGAAAAATTCGATATTCTCGAGGAAAAACGAAATCATTGGTATAGATGGCGCTGTGTGTGTTGGTATATGTCACATAGGCTACTTTTTATCCTTTTGTGACGCGAGCGAAGCCGCGGGTAAAAGCTAGTATAAAATAAATAAAGTGGTGTTGAATGTAATTTTTTGTTAAAGACTAAAGTTGCAGCCGAAACATGACATGAATTTAATAGTGATCTCGAAATCTAATTCTCTTATCGTTGAATGTGTTATTGATAAGACTATATTATCAAGTTTCCTTTTAATGATAGGACATTGTAGTTTTAATCAAAATTATAACGTCACGCCTTTTAATCTCCGAAGGGGTAGACAGAGTTGTAGATGTAGATGTTATACAATACAAACACCCACTTTTTAGGTATTATGTTATGGGGCCCTTATAATTAGCGGTGGCTTTTGCCATACACCAGGCACTATTCCAGACTCCATGTTACCGAATGGTGAACATCCCAATTAGGTTAGGCTTTGCCCGACCCCGAAATCGAACCCGTAACCCGAGACATCTTACGCGATAATGACACTTTGCAACCACTAGGCCAGTGAGAAAAATGAAGCAAGACGTAGAAAGAATAATTATGTTATTTAATTTTTTTACAGATAAGAAACAACAATGCAGAATTCAACATCAAAAGAAAAAGAAAAAGTAGCTACAGTAACTATATCTCCTAATTTACTGAAAAATTTCAACGTTTACGACATTTTGGAACCGGAAAAAAGTGACGTATTTAGTGATGCGGCTAAGGTGGATAAATTAATCGATATCGATGACTCTTCTCGAGACTCCGGATTCCAAGATGCGGATAATAATGCCTGGTTTTTGGATAATAATAAGGAATTTAATTTAGTAGATTTATTTCAAAACATTTTTGTTACACCACAGCATATTAAGAAAAAGGAAACCTACGACGATGTTGCTGCAACATTTTCGGATAGCAAAACTGTTGATCCAGGTTTCAACGAGTTTTTGGATATGTTGGAATCTGGACAAAAGATTGACTGGACTAATATTTCAACGAAGGAAAAATCTGTGTTAAAACATAATTTTCTTCAGAAAAAACCGAAAGTTTTGGTACCTAAAGTGAATCTAAGTGAATCGGAATCGGACCCCGAAGAATTGATACACGAAATACTAACTAATAAAAAAATGGAAAAAATAGATTTTAATGATTCGCATAAATATCAAACAAAAGTCGACCGTAATATGCCCAAAATTGATGTTAAAAAACCAAAAATAATTAATACTCCAGATTTGATTCCTGAATTTTCTCATAGCTCGGAAAATAGTATCAGCAAAGGCGTCAAATTGGACAATAGTGACAATAAGAATGTAGCTCAAAATTCAGGCATTAATACTAAGAGAACATCGGAGAGACTCCTTCAGAAAAATCTTGAAAGACAAAATAGAGTTTATTCAACAGATTTCGTTGTAAAAGCTATGCAAAAAGATGAAAAAATGTATAGAAAGAAAAGATTACAAAAACCCGAGCATTTAATAGCAAATTATACAAAAGGGCCAGATTTTTACGAAAAATCTGTTGTCTTACCACAAATAATGGCGCGAATGAACGCGAAACTGTCAGAATTAGATGAAAAAAGTAATCATAAAAGGAAATTGGTCTTAGACGCTGGCATTGCACCGAAATCCGAATGTAGCCCGCCGAAAGAAGTTAAGGACATCAAAACGAAACAAAATTATCTGCCAGTGACTGCAAAGTATCAGCCAGAAGCAATGAAAAAGACATTGAACATTGCGATGAATAACAAAAAACCTCAAAATCAAGGTTTGCAGTTGATTAAAACAGTTAAAGCTACCGAAAAGGAAGCTCAAATGTGCGTTAGTAAAACAAATAATCACAGCGCTGTCCATGCAACGGTAGGGCTATCTTGGAATTGTAGTAAACCGACGAAAACCGACAACTCTAACGCTAAAAAATCTACTGCTACCGCTTTTGGTGAATTAAATCCCGTAGTTCTAATGGAAGATTGCAATAAGGAAAGGCTAAAAGCTTTCAAA